TAAAAAAAAAAAAAAAAAAAAAAAAAAATACATAAGCCTAGAACTGCTAGGTATGTTTATAGATGATGATGTTTTATGCGCTACTGAACTCTGAATGCAGGAAAGGGGAAAAAACCACCAGCCACAGTGTCAAGGTCTTGAAGCATCAGTCCCTCAAACTCTGCTCAAGATCTCTGGTTACAGGCTGTCTTCCTATAGAATAACGCTCTATTAATTTTCTTCCTGTCCTGGGTGCATAATGAAAGAAAGGTGTCTCGAAAAACTAAAGGGCAAAGTCTTGCTTGCTACCAATACCTTGAGGCACCCTGTCTACATTTTGTCATGCGTGTGCACTTTTCAGCGTTAGAATGACAAGATTTCCAGTCAGAAGGTTCCCGTAAGGCACAGTGCGATGGGGTACTCAGAAAGATTTTGTGATCTGACATCGCTGTAAGGCAACGAACTTTTGCATTTGCTTAGCCTGGTGGGAATTTTTATCCTCTGCCTATGGCTAATAGTCCCTATTTAAATAACAAATGCTGTCTTTGCATCTGAGAGACATCATATCTCGGCTAAAAGCATATTGTGTCCTGAGAACTGGAAGTCTTTTTTTTTTTTTTTTTTTAAATGATCATCTTTGGTTGTTTTTTCCTCTCCCCACACATGCATACTGGACTCTTTCAAATTACAGGCATGCAAGTCAATGCTCCTCTTCATGTCACTGTTACAAATCACAGAGTGTTAATGTAACGTAGAAAAACATTGGTATGGTAATACTGGCTTGTGGAAGAATCCTTCTGAGCTGAGAATCTGAAGTTAATCCAAGAAATTCAAGGTAATCCTCAGTTGTCTTTGGCAGGTAGAAAAGTGGTAATGTGGCAGTATTTCATTCTTGTAGCCTTCTTTACTGACTTTGAACTCGGGTGAAGTTAACACATCGGCCCTGGAAATAAAAACAGACAGTAACTTATTGGTGGGTGAAGTAATGAATACAAAGTAAAAGATCCTGAAATGGAAATGTTAACACATTAAACAGAAATAGGTATTTAAAATTAAGAGTTTTGTAGAAATAGCATTGCCATGAAAAAATGTTGAATTCAGTAATGCAAGTCATCTAGAGCAGTACATCACACTTGATTTACTCATTTATGATATGGTTTCATAATTGAGAAAAATAAGAAGATGGATACAGTCTTCTGAAAACACCTCTGTTTTTGGTGGTTATGATATGTAAGTCTTTTCGTTCTGAATAACTGCTCAATATGTAAACCCAATCCATTTTCTTCTGTTTTGCAAACAATAGAACAAGATTTTGCTCAAAGTTAAAGAGATGCCCAGGGACAGACAGATTTCCCATTAAACTTGCTCTGTGTAAACAACATTATTAATGAAGCACTGCTGTTGCTTGTTTGACAGAAGCATTTTATTAATACAATAATGTAATAACCAGAGTAGTGCATCTACCTTCTTCTTGGGGCATTAAATGGAAATGGTTCCCCAAATATCAGGTTGAATTGAATCAAAATATATCAGTGGCCCAATTCATTCTGAGAGTAACTCCATTGACTTTGATGGTGTTAAACCAGGGATGAATTTGGCAAAATCAATTAAAAGGAAAATGGGACTGAGCATGGGGAGGACACAGATTGCTTTTCGTAAGCTTTTTTTTTTCTTTTTTTTAACTTTTTAATTCAAAACCATGCCCAGAATCTGGTCACTTATCAAGTTGGCTGTACTTTTCACAGAACAGCGGACTTCAAGCAGATCTCGCTTTCAAAGAAGCAGTGACTTCTGGTTCCAGAAAGGAAAAGTGAAGGTTATGGTGAAAGTTTGTTCAGAACTCTGTTATGGATAACTTAAATATTCTCTGAAAAAAATAGGGTATCATTAATACTAGTTAGTCATTGCATTGGTTATTTCGTCTCACAGTCCTGCATTAACAACAAAGATATTTTTCTTTTCATTTACCAATTCCTTTCTTTTGGGTAAACTGTAACATAAGATTATAATATAGTTCTAAACTAATGCCTTTGAATCAATTTCAGAGACTTTTAAAAACAGGATTCTAAGCCAACAGAGGTAGTCTGGGCACATCTACATGTGCACTTTAATACGCAGTAGCCTATTTTACTGCACATTACAGCACTGCATAAAAACTGTGCAAATACACTAATGTGCAGTAATAGGCTACTGCACATTAAGCTTCAATAAAAAAAAGCATGTGCTTTCACTACTGCATATTAGGGCAGCCTAATGCACATTTGGGGTGTTTATACATGTGCTTTTCGGGTGTATGGGGGGGGGGCACTTTAATTAACCACTTTTAATTAAAGTACCCAGCATGGCTCATGTATCAGCATCCCTGCACTTCAAAATGTTGGCAGGAGCACTTTATCCAAAGCTCACTGATATCTAAAGCAGGGGTGCCACCATTAGATAAAGCACCCCTGCCATCATTTTGAAGTGTGGGGACGTTGATACACAAGATGATAGAGGCTGCTGCTGCAGCATGGTAATTACTACACTCCAGCAGACTCGATTAATTGAGTCTGCTCCAATGCACTGTAATTAGCGTGTAGGAGTAGCCTCCCTGCTTGTGTATAGGCACCCTTATTTAATACCTTACACTGGAGGTACTATATTTAATATGCATTAGGAAAAGTGCATTAATGCATATGTAGATATGCTCCCTTCTGGGAGTAAGCTGATGTACTTCTGCTTTTAAAGACATATTTGATTAAATTATTACTCTTTTACTACTTAACAGAATGGATGGTACTGGGTTATCAAGGACAATTTGAGTGAAAAATCTGCATTTCTTAATAGTTTCAAAACATTTTTGCTAAATTCCTTTTTTTACAATAAACATTTAGCGGTATTACACATACTGGGGTGGTATTATTTGGCACCATTGAGGCAAATATGAATGACTGAGTGGAATGAGAGGAGTCAATGCTCTCCAAACCAACTGGAAGAATAAATATATAATGCTGCAGAGAGCAAGGCAATCTTGTTTCCATAATGCTTTTCTAATGATTCTATGTCCTATCAAAATATATTTGTTATGATAAAATATAAAAAAGAAAATACAAGGTTAGATTAATTGTACTACTCCCTAGCTACTTCAATGTAGATTATGAATGCAGAGAAGATGCAAAGAGATGACCCATAAATGTTCAGAGATGCCATTAAAGGTAAAATAGAAAGGCACTGTTCCTTTCTATATTATATGCTTTTTAGAAATTAAATATAACAAAATGAATGCTGTTATAGAATACAAAGTGTGTCCTGAGCATAAGGAAAAAACATTCTAAACAAATCTAGCAATTCCCACAATGAGACTGACATTAAATAATGAGAGCAAAGGCATTCACAATGAAGTATGATACAGTATAGGCAAAATGTAAGTGCAATAGAATAGCTGCCAAAAGTAGCAAATGGAGGAACCTCAAATGTGCCTAGGATGACATGAATCATTGCTATTTACCCTTCATTGTGAAAGTCTTGCTTCTGATTGTTTTATGTTGTAGCAATATAGATCTTTAAAATATATTTACTGGTGCATTAATTTATATACATTTTGGATAAATGCTTAGAATATTTTTCCATTTTTACATCTGCATTTACCATGCAACTTAAAATATAGTCCAGTAGGGATGATTCTTATTCAGGTTTTAAAATGTATTTAAACAAACCAGGTGTCTACTTAAGGTGTTAAATTGCTGTATAAGGTAAAATATGCCACTACAGGACTGCTTTCCTGGAGTCTGGGAGTAAAAAAAATTAAGACCTAGTGAAACAATTAAAGTATTGGAATGAATTAACTTTATCAGTTTTAAAACCAAAGCAACTCCTTAGTCACAAGGAAGGATGTACTACTGAGTCATAAGAGGGATTTCTAGCTTGTGCGCCAAGTACAGTAAACATGGGAAATTACTGTCTTCTGTGCTCAGTGGGGCAGAGGACAGTTGAGTTTCCATTTCTATCCTCATTAGGATCCTATCAGGAAAGTTAGATTTAACTCTCATCATGGCTCCATTAGACTTCTGCCGGAAGTAACTTCTGAGAGGAGCTGCTATGGCAATGGAATATCTAATGCAATACCGATTTTGGATTGCTGTGACTCCCTCTGGTCTTTCTTTCCCCATCCTCCACGCCTCGCTGTTTATGGACTCGTGGTAGCTGAGTAAAACTGCGTCCATTTTTTGGCCATCACATGACCCTCTTTATACCAATAAACTGAAAGCATGGCCAATTAATACTTTGTCTAAAAACAGCTGTTCTCATAACTCAAAAAGTATGTAGCTGTTTCAAAAAAAAATAAAGCAACTCTTTCTCCGAACTAGCACTGAACACAAAATTCATAACCAGTGGATTTGGTTACAGAATTCCTAGAACCAAACTTCATGGAAATTGAAATGAAAATTGAATTATCCAGATATGGAGACTGTAAACTCCCTCTACAGCCAAGTCACATAGCTTTTAAGCCAGCCATAAGCATTACCTAGAGAAACTGCTTGAGTATTTCCCCTCCCACAAGCTTACAATTCTGACCCATGCTTTCACACCTGGATTTCAACAGATAATGGATTTGTTAAGCATGGCAGCAAAGTGGTCAAGACATCTTGGTATAGTTACAGTCATGAGCCTGCTCTGGGCTTATGCCGAAGGCCAGTCTCACTGATCCAGCTGTAAATCAGCACCTAATTATTCAGGCTGGGGTAGTCAAAAGCAGACCAGACAGATATGATGCTGGTCCCTTTGCTCCTTTGTATACTGTTGGCTATAGGAAACTGGTAGGTCTCAGCTATGTTAGGTCAACTGGTTGAGAGGCTTGGGAGAAGCTATGGGCTTTTGTATCTAATTTATGGATCTGGTAAGTTTAGCCTTTGCCTAGAGAACATTTCACAAGCAAAACTATCCTTCCTTAGTCTAAAGGCCTATGCTGGGTTTCTGAGCCCAGAGATGATAGGAGCTTAAGCTAGTGATTCTCAACCAGGGTGCCACAACAGCTGGGAGGTGACATGAAATCTTTTTAAAACTAATGCACAAAATTAGCATCGTTAAATATGCAAACAGTTACACGTGATTCACAAGAAACCCGAAGATTTCCAATCAGAATTCACAGAGTCAGAAGCATTCTGCCCTGCTATGGTCTTTCTGAGTTCTTTGGAACAGAAAAGGTAGTCTATTATTTTTCCATAATCAAAAAACAAGTGAAGCTAAAAGCTGGCATTTTTCAAGGGGTGCCCTGAATCTAAGAGAGTGTACCTTGAGCCTAAAAAGGTTGAGAACCACTGCTAATGCTGTCATCAAGTCACCAAGCTAGCTGGTATAGTTTATGTATAATCAGGTACTTGCATCCCAAGTAGTAACTTTTGTGGATTTATGTGCCTGTAACTTTATTTTTCTTTTCTTATAGGGAAATTGGTGATTAAGGGATTTTAAATGAAAAAAAAAAATCAATGTTTTGTGAAAAGTATGATGCCCATGTAAGACAGCTGCAATCAGGACGTTGGAAAACACATTGAAAGTGCTAATTACTTTGAAGGTCAAGAATTCTGTACCACCATTAATGTAACAGGAAATGCTCCATGCCAACACTGTGCAGAACAAGTTTCATGTTTGGGTAATAGAAAGTGACAAGGTGCACAGCTTTATACTGTAGTACCCAGACACTAAGGACGCATTAAAGGTACTGCATTAGCCAGCAGTAGTGGCTTATAACTGTTGAAGTTTTGTTGTGATTGAACGCTTTTCGCTTGTATTTTTGCTATCTGTTCTTGTCACGTTACTGCTATTTGTCAGTAAAACCATGAAAGCTAGCAAACCTGTTTTTTAGATGGGCTGAAAACATAAAACATATCTGTACTTGCTTCTTCTGAATGTTGTTTTACAGGGCCTTTTCCCCCAAACAAGAAATGGTTGTTAAAAGCAGACTAT